TATTTTATTATTATATTCAAACTTGCATGAAGTAATTTATGAGCAAAAAAAAAAAAAATCACTGGTGTCATTACAGATCTTTAAGGCAGATTTCCTCAATCTCCAGGCCATGGCCCAGTACTAGGCTATGACCCATTAGGAACTGGGCTGTGAAAGTGGGGGGAGCACGCGTGTGCCACCACTCACACAGAACCATTCCCTCTCCCCCTCCCCCATGCCCGCCCGGTCTGCGAAGCTGGAAATGTTGGGGAAAGTTACCTTAAGGGAATTATGACAGTTAATTACTTCGATTGTCAGAATTGCCTATAAATTTTTACATTTTGAATTCTGTTAGCAATTCATAAAAGGACAGGCAACCATGCCAGTAAACTTCTTAGCAGCCTTTGATGAGGAACTTTGTTAAAGGTTTTTTGAAAATTGAAATATACAAAGCCAACAGGTTCGCCTTCATCTAGATGCCTGTTAGCGTTTTAAAACATTCTAAGAGAGCTGAGACATGATTTACCTTTAACTATTTATTAAAGGTATATTCTGCCCAGCTCACCATCAAGTAACTCTTTATAGAATCTATGTTGATTCTCCTTCAGCAAGACTTGTTCTGCTACATATTTAGGTTTTTTTTTTCTGTGACTACCATTTCTACCAATTTTTCAGGAATAGACATTATGTTGGTCTATAATTGATAGGAATTCACTTAAGTCTTTTTTTTTTAAATAGATATCACTTTAGCTATCTTTCAGTCCTCTGTCACTGAGACTGATTTGAGAGACAAGTTGCATATTTTGGCTAGATCAGTAATTTTACATTTGAATTCTTTTAAATTCTCAGGTGGATGTCATGAGGACCTGGGGAGTTTTACTGTGTAGTCTCTCAATATGTTCTAGAAATTTTCTCTTGTCACATCTGTTTGCTTTTATTATTTTGTTTCACACCCTGAGAAAGTCAATTTGGGTGAAGCAACAGCAATAACACCTTGACTTATATACTGCTTCACAGTGCTTTACAGCCCACTCCAAGTGATTTACAGAGTCAGCATATTGCCCCGAACAATCACGTCCTCATTTTAAACACCTCAGAAGGATGGAAGACTGAGTCAACCTTGAGCTTGGTGAGATTTGAATTGCCAAATTACAAGCAGTCGGCTGTCAGCAGAGGTAGCCCGCAGTACTTCATTCTAATCACAGTTCCACCACAGCTCAATACATATTTATCTTAAATCCCCCATCCTTGGAAAAAAAATGTCTATTTTAGCAAGTACTGGATCTCTCTTATGGGATTATACATAGTATTTCCTCCAATTTTTGCACAGAATAACAAACCTGCGTAATTAAAAAGTCAAGGTAGTGTACATAAGGCTCCTCCCTTCTATAGTGTAAAACCTAATCTGCCACACCACACTGCCTTTCTATGATTTGAAGATGAGTACTTTAAATTCCAATCAACTATCTTTACCATTATGATTTTGATAATTGCTGTCTGAAAGATTTGCTTACTCCTGAACCAGGTCCGGTCACTCTTTCTTAGCCTAACTGGTAATACAGGAGTAGTGATGAAGGTAAAACAGGTGAAAATACAGATACTGCCTTTTTCTATTTGCATAAAAGATGAACTATACACGTAAGAAGGAAAGATAACAATAATCAGGCAAGAACAGCCAAGCATCTGCAATGTTTAGATACCTTCTGAGTTCATCTGGCATTAAGCTACGTGCATAATTTTATTAGCAAAGAATAATATTTGAAGTATGTTGGGATGATACTTGTCCTCCTAATCAGAAACAGCAGTATCTTTTATATAAATTAAGTACAACATCCAAATTAAGTAATTTACATAGGCCATGATCTTTTTAAATATAAGCTGTGATATATACTGTATGCTTATTTATAAATGTGGCTAAGATTGGAGGTGGGGAAATATCTCTTGTTCATTTTTAAAGTTTTCTTTTAAAATCCTGAAAAATATTTCCTGGTTTTATTTAACTTCTTGGTTTCCCTTCTTCTATCCCCTGGTGTGTGTACCTGCTCACTAGGAGAGTTTCAATCTGTCTCTTATTTATTTACAAAGCTTCTTACTGGCTAGTTGGAATGAATCTCCATCTCTCAGCTAGAAAAATGAAGTTGCTCCAGAGCTCAATAAAACATTGCAGAGAATAAATAGCCAAATTACTGTTACTTTCAGTTTGACTATATTAGAGGAATGGGGTAACCATAGCAATAAAGCAAAAAATAAACGTTGCACCTTGTAAGAGGAAGGAGTCAAGAAAGACACAGCAAATATGATTTGCCACTATTATTTTGAGAATAACAGAATCTTCCTCAACATGGAATCCTCTAGATGTATTAGGGTCAAAGGAATTTTGCCCCAGGTTCTGCTATGAGAAAGTGTCAGTGGTTTCATCAATAAGCCAGTGACTATTCAGTGCTGCTCAGAGAAAGTCAATGTAATGTACTAGATAAGCTATTGGGCTAGGTAGGACGATGTGACAGCCACCAACCTAAGTGAGGATAAAACAAATTCATTAGGGGTATTCTAGAATACATCCAGTACTTGCAATAGTCCTGAAAAAATTGCGAATTTTGCATATGCTTCTGATTGGCCCGAGTGTGAAACACAAAACTGATCTTTCGTCTGATCCAGTAGGACTCTTTTTATGTCCTTATATTCTCAGATGTAAGAGAAACAGAGCAATTCATTAGCAGCATACTGGTTTTTCTACAAACCTCTATGTAACTCCATTCAGCGGCTTAAAGAACATGTGGAACAAGATGATTCTATAGATCCCTCTGCCCTCCATTCCATCTGAGTCAAAAAAAGACCCTAGTTAATTCTACTGGAAGCTGAGGAAAGCCCAGGAGGAAAAAGATCTGTTTCCCACATATTTTCTCTGGCACATGCCATCCAGGAGGGCATTTACAGCTACATCAGGGAGCAAAACATGACAGAGCCTTTCAAAAGGCAGTTGTAGGATCAATTATTATTTTATTTTTTTTCTTCTTCTTCACCAAACTGTCTCCCCGAGAGATCATTCTATAGCTCCAACTGTATGAGCAAATATTCGAGTTTATTTCCCTCCTTTCTTTGTGCCCCATTGTGATCTGATTTTATTAGGTCAAATTTGAATGGATTGGATTTATTACTGATTGTGGACAATTACTGTGTTGTTTTTGAATTTCAAGGATAAATCCACATATATTGTCCTGAACATATAGGAAGAAAGATAGGATTAAAATGTTGGAGGTCATCAACAAAATGAACTTGACATTTCAAGTGTAATGAAATAATAATGAATATATTATTATTTATGTAAATAATGAACATTTACCTTGCAGTCTTTTAACGTGCCCTGTGCAAGAATAGAACTTGCTGGGCTCTTCAAGTGTTTTAGCCTTCTGCTTTGTGCTTCTAGCCAGCTGCCCAAAGATTGTGCTTTGTTTTCATTTTTAACAACAGATTCCAAAATGTGCTCCAACTCCTTTATCTGCATAGAGGACAATTTGTAATTATTTGCAAAATGTAGGAATGTTTTAAATTTTTTAGTTTATGGTAATAAGCACAGAAGAAAGAATATTTCCCCCCATTTTCTACAAAGTGCCTCATATTTTAATTTATTATGTTTCTGGACTCAGATATAACAGAAAAAAAAGCTTCAGATCACCTCCAGATAGTAACTTTAATCTATTGTACTTAATTGGAAATGTAAAGAGAATATGGTTATGTTGTCACTGCATTATTCCTGTCCCAGCGACAGTGGGGCAACATAAACCAAAATGGGTATAAGGCTTACTAAGGTCTGTGTGTCAGGGCTCTGGTAGTTACCCCCATTTAAATAATAAGTCATTAGTCAAATTTTCAAAACTTAAAGATTTATTAGGTGTAAACATGCCAGCATTGTCTGGGTGTAGCCAACTCTGAGACAATCATTCATTGTCACCATTGAGCATTTTTCCCCCCATTCCCTGGATGTATCATAATTCATATTCTCCAGTGGGACACATCCATAGCCAAGAGTCATCAATCATGTTCTCCAGTTAGAATTCTGTGCAGCAGAAACTTCAGTCACCTAGAAACTATCTTTGAAAACATTTATGGAATGCAAGTTGCCCACTGCTCCCCGCTCCCGTTCTGTTGGCAACTCTAAAAACCATAGAAATATTTTATGAGTTGACACTGTGGATTAGAGAAAGTAGGTGAGAACTAAATTCATATTTATTTTTGTTGTTGCTGGCTTTAGAGCTGCCTGGAGAATCCAGGAGAATAGGGAATGGGGTTGGAGTAGAAGACCCACAAGGTCCCTTCCAAGTCTGTTAATCTGTTATCTGTTATCCTTGTTCATTTCCTAATCCTTGATGCAGATCTGAACAGCATCAGACCTTGCAGATGGGACAGGAATGCCACCATGATAGGCTTCTGCCCAATAAGCAGCAGTGAATGTAGGCAAATTGGGTGGAGGAGACTTGCATGGACCTCTCTGCCTGATTTCTCCAGCTGCAGCCTTTCTAGGAAGGACCCCACTGCCATTCTGAAGAGTTCTCTGCAGTACAGAGAACAAAGCAATGAAGCTGCAATGGATGGGTGATCTTCCACTAGGCGCATCTGAAGTTGACTCACATTCTCCGCAAAAGGTTCTAAAGGACATTCAAACCTTTTCATTCAGAGTCCCTTGCAAATGGTGCCAATTCATATTCAATTCCCCAAGACATTCTGCAAATGACGTCCTCTCGTAACGCTTGCTTTCAACATCACAAGGTGTCAACTGTAGTAGTGACTGGTTCACATAATCAACTATCCATTGTTTAAAGTTCATTTCCATCACATACTCCTAGAAATGTCAAATACAACTCTGTCAAAATAAGCATGTTTTCTATGCAGCAAATACAGTTTTGTTCCTTTATAACTGATTCTACTGTAAGTGAGAACAGGGTAGAAGCGCAGAGCTATAATAACTCATAATTGTATGGCCAAATCCCTTGCTCGTAGTTAAAGAGCATAATGATCATGGGCTCTTAAAAAGTGTAACTGCCTATAATAATTATTTAGGTGGGGGCGATGAAAGTTGTAGTACAATACATCTGTGAAGGCATCAAATTGGGAAGAGATTGTGAGTTCAGTTGAAAAAAACATCCTGGGAGAAGCAAAAGCAAATGTTTTCTATATTGCTGCCAATATATTGCTGGATGCAGTCTCCAGAGACAAGATTCCTATAAGGGTTTTATAAGTATACTTAAGCTTGCCTTTTTTTTCTCCAAATTCATTTTCCTCTTATGTGTGATTCATAAAAGAATGGTGCCATTTAAAGACACTGACAAATTATTGTGTAACAGTGTTAGCACTACCTTTCTAGCTTTATTTGCATGATAGTATTAGTGAATTAAACACAGAAAATGTTT